AGTAATATGCATCAATATACAGTACTTTATGCATAACAAAAATATATCGATATTCGTATCAAATTAACTATTTAAAATTTCTCATTTTTTGTGTAATTTTTTAATTCAATTTTTTATTATAATTTAATTTAGGTACAATAACGAAGTAATTTATATTTAGTTTAATAATATAATTTTCTTATAAAGATAATAATTAATGAATCTCCACCTGTAAATTAGAATGAGATGTACAAGATCAATCCCCGTATCAAACGCGATTGATGCGTGTGTTTGAGATTAAATGTGATCAAAGATCCGTATTCTTTCTTACGCTTCTCATTTTAACTTTCATTCTCACACGATCCTTTACACGCACGCACACATATAGGTAATCATTTGCAAATTATTTGAAGGTTACAAACCTTACAAACCCATCTAGACCGTCCTTTTTTATCAATGGTTGAGAAAATTTTGAATTTGAGTTAATTAAAAAAATTAAGAAAATGGTAATTTTAGAGTAGATTTTAAATATTTAAAATTTAAAAAATTATTAAATAATTAGAATTATCTCCACCATTTTCTCATTAAATTTAAATTTAATTAAATAATTTAGAATCATCCCCATGATTTTCTCCGTTATCTCAAGCACTCTTTCGCTCTCTTTTATCTCAGACTTCTTCTTCATTGTTTTCTTCTTTGATTTTCTTCTCTAGTTTGTCGGAGGATCGAAAGTCGAAGGTTTTCACCTTTGAGAAAAACTTATTGAATTGTTATTATGAAATATTATGTATCGTAAAACACATTTAAAATGTGTAAGATCACATGTACTTCAAAACGTAATTCATAATTTATACATATCAAGTGTAATGTTGTAGATAACTTACATTTTTTTCCTACTATGATCAGTATCATATATGATACATGTACAAAACTTAGCGATTTTTTTTAAAGATAAAATATAACTAATTTTGTTTTAATTTCTATTTAAATTTCAAAATTTTATATTATTATTTTTGATTAACCTAGATATCCAACCCGCTATGCGAGCCGACTAATCACATGACGATCACCCGTTTTGCAGATAGTCCGGAGTCACCGTATTTGAACCTTAAACTTTGTTATATTTAATATAAAGTTTAAGGTTTTCTATTTTTACCCTGATCTTATAACACTTAATATCGTGTATGTTTGATATATCGTCCAATTTACTGTATTCTTTTTGTAAACTTTTTATAAATGATATTAGTAAATTACAAATCAAATTAGATATAAAATACAAAATTGGGTAGATTGAATGAAAAAAATAACGTACGTTAACTTGATTTCTATATAGAGTAACGTACTTTCAAAACTTTCATTTTGGTACGTAAGATGTAAAATTTTAAATATTTAACTACCCGGGTAACTGGTTGAAGACTAATTTTAGATTAGAAGAAAGGAAAATTTATAAAAATAACCGGTTTACACAACCCTTTGCCACAAAATAACCACATTTTAGAGGTTTTACCGGAATGACCACACGGATCGCCCCCGGGGGCGATCCGTACACTATGGGGGCGATCGCACCATTAAATCTAAAAAAAAATTCCTCAAAAGTCGAGATTACTGTTCATTCTCGTTGACCGTGTTTGACCTCGCCCCCGGGGCGATACGTACTGTACGGGGGCGATCCGGGGAGATCCGTACTGATACGTATTCGTTTTATAAAAAATAACTTGAAAGGACCACGTAAACTTAACTTTTTCGTCACACGTTTGACGACCCCAGAATACGTTATTGGCGAAGACAAACGTATTGCACATGTGGGGGAGGTTATCGGAAGGTACTCTAAAACACCATTTATATCTTTGAATAAACCGCCACTTCGAAGATACACACAAACATTATCACTTTGACGTGATTTCATGTTTTGTGATGGTTGATTGTGTTTAGTGGGTTAAAGGTTGTGATGGTTTATTGTGTTTAATGGGTTAAGGGTTGTGAGAGTAAAATATATGAGAAGAGAAATGGAAGGGAAGGTGTGAAAAATTATGAAGTAGGAGGTTGGTATTTATAGTGAAATTGGTATTAGAAAAAAAAATCAATTTTTTTTTACCTGGATCGCCCCGGGGGCGAGGTCAAACACGGTCAACAAGAATGAACAGTAATCTCGACTTTTGAGGATTTTTTTTAGACTTAATGGTGGGATCGCCCCCAGAGGCGATCCGTGTGGTCATTTCGGTAAAACCTCTAAAATATGGTTATTTTGTGGCAAAAGGTTGTGTAAACCGGTTATTTTTATAAATTTCCCTAGAAAAAATCCATGTCACCAACCACACCAGCAAATAATATTGAGTTAGATACCACATCAGCATGATAACCGGTTAATGTTTCAACCGGTTACCCGGATGCTTAAATGTTTAAAATTTTACATCTTATGTACCAAAATGAAAATTTTGAAAGTACGTTATCGAAAATAAGAATCAACTTAAAGTATATTACTTTTTTATGCAATTTGCTCTTAAATAAATTAAAAGTTTATTACATTTATTTTAGAAAAGATAATTGTCGATCTTTAGCCATTTTTAAAGCAACAAATAAAATTTAATTGAAAGATTAAAAACTGATTCAAGTAACAAAAAGTTACAAAGAAACAGTGGAAAGGACGCATATTGGAAAAAGAAAAAAACAACCGTGTTCTGCATGTACAATCGCCGTAACGGCTTGAAGCATCCCGGTTATTCCGGCGCTGGGACACGGCGTTTTTTGTGAGCCGAGCAATCACCCTACGCCACGTCATTCCAACCTTGCCCTCGACTAATTCCCCACGACGGAGGCCGTCTTCTTCTTCACTGAAACTTCCTCATTATTCCCAAATTAACCCTCTTCCAATCCCAAATTCCCAATTTTGCCTAAAAGCTGATTGTCATGGCCGACCGTCAATCCACTTCCGCTTCATCTGCTCAGCCAATCAGGCCGTCGCCGTCTCCGTCGCGACGGAGACTGCAGAAGTACAGGTCTATTAAGGATATCATTGACAACCCCGATGTGGTGCGCCAAGACTACAACGACACCGTTTGCGATCAATGCGGCTCCGGTGATCGTGACCACCAGCTCCTTCTCTGTGATAAATGTGATAAAGCTTACCACATGCTATGTCTTCGTCCTATCGTTGTTCGTGTTCCTATTGGTCCCTGGTACTGTCCTGCCTGCTCCGATCATCCACCGCCGCTTAAAAGTAGGGACTCCGATTAATTCAATTCCTCTTTTTGTATATACACATTGTATGCCTGCATGAATCATGAGATTTTACTTTACTTGATTTTAAAATTTGCAATTTCAGAGTAATGTGGGTGCTATTTTACATAGAAATTTCAGGTTTCACGCAGACTAAAATTTTTGATTTCTTTAAGATAAAGAAATGCACGGCTTCATCGGTGAAAAGAATATCTCCTCAAGGTATACTTTTGTTTCTATTTGATAACATTTTTTTGTTTCAGCTCCTGGTTAAAAATGGTATGGTGTTGAAAGTCTTGAGGATCAATCAAACACTTACTTTGGACGTGGCTACCAGTTCAAATCCCTCTTCCTCAAGCTTGTTCAGAAACAAATTCTGAGGCTTCTTGAATCCTAAAACAACTAGGATTGTGCCAGCATTTTGTTACAGTTCCACTATTTCTGATTTTGCAAAGACATTTATGCATTGGTGATTGGATCAGAGCTCAAGCTAGTGATGCTTTCGGCAACCGAACTTTCGCTGCCCAAAATCCTCGCTGCAATAGAGGCTATTCCTCCCGTCTAATTCTGGTCATTGAATAAATGATACTTTAACGAATAACTAATAGATTTCCTTTCTTTCAGTTATCCTTTTGCCCCTTTCCCTGGTATATTAATAACAAAACGGATCACCTGCAAACAAGAAATCTGTTTATCTGAGTTCCAATCTGAAACCTAAAAGGAGGCCCTTGCCATGCGCAAGTCATGCAACCTTACCATAAGCAAAACTTCACACAATGCTTGAAGCACCCTCCCCCTCCCCCTTCTTCCACTATGGGGACTAGAATGTATAATAGGCAGAGTCGCGGAGGATTAATTGTTAGCAACATCAAGTGTTGGGGCTTGAAGCTATTAATATGTATAGATGGCTTCATAATTCTATAGAAGATACTTTATACAATCATAAAGTGGATTATACTTGATACCAGATGTTACAAACTTACAACTGACACCACATGTGTGTGAATAAGAATATGTAGTTGGTTTGGTTGATTGACAAATTTCAATGATGAATTATTTGTAAGGACCAAGAAGTGTTGGGGTATCATGATCTGTGTGTATTGGCATTGTTATATCTATCAGCAAGTTTCCTATTCTTACCCCCCTATTTATCTATGCAGTTGCCAGTATTTTTAATCAGATTGAAATTGAAAAGCTTATTGTCGTATACTCGGTACTTACAGATCTGTCTACGTGTTCTCATTTCTCACAGACGATTTTGTATATAACTTCCAAGGTTCTAAGTCTATATACCCTATGGACACATGTCTTGTCGTATAATCTCTGCCTCTGGCTGAGAAGACCAATAAACCTGGTAAAGGGACTAACCACAACACATTAAAAGGACCCCAAACAACATATATTGAGCTTCCTCATTTATCACTTAAAGTTGGCAACCTGCCTTTTGTGATATCTCCGTATATGATCTCTTCATCTTTATGTGGTGAAAAGTTCATCTTACCTTTTCGGCAAATGCCGTAACACACATCTTTAATGAATGCTGCAGATGTTAATTCTTGATAGTGCAGCAGTTTGAGCTGTATGATGTGAGTGCTCACAACAGTCCACCTTCTAACCTGGCATAGATTCTTTAAGTTCATCATGCACAGATGCACTTCTATGATAAACATCTTTCTAAGCCCTATATTAAATGCAATTGTAACAAATCATTATTTTCTTGCTTCAAATCCAAACTACTTGACAAAATAATCTTCTCCAGCCTTGCTTTCAGCAAGTCACTTTGTCTTTTCTTTAACCCTTATGAAGATTTTCTTTTTGCTTGGCATTACTACTTATGCCATCCCCTAGCATTTCATCAGCAAATTTACAGTTGGGAAAATAAACCGTTCTTTTAGTGGCTTGCATGTATATGATATTTAATTGATTGTCAGGCTAATTTAATTAAACAATATTTAGGTACCTTCTCTAAAGTTTCGTGACATTACTTAACAAACTTGGATTGCTCTTTACAGTTTAAATACTTGGACCATTATTAAAATCCGTATGCTCTACAGAAAGTTGTAACTAGTATGACCCTGCACTTAGGAGGTATCTTTTTATCCATCATACTAAACTAGCATTCTAGATTATAAACTAAACCCCTTAAAATCATTTCATAGAAGTTCATTGAGATCTTTCCATAAAGCAAATCAACTTCGATATCACCCAAGCAACTCCATAGTTTAACAAAATTGAGCCTTTTATCCCTTTTATTATCTAAATTCTTTCACCGAACCCAGGGRGGGCACGATGAATACATTGATTATCTGGGTCAAATATATATCCCAGGCATATTCTATCCCAACTTTTCTAATCATATACAGCCTCTTGGCTTAGGATATTCAAACTAATTGACAAGTTTTCTCTAACTCTTGTCATGTTGTGCAGTAAGCCTTTCTTTTCATGTTGTCTTTAATCCAAGTTATAGTTTTCTCTCTATTGTCCAAGCCCCTTGTTAATCTCTTTCTCATGTCCTCGTGCTTTGGAACATCGCTTCCCTCACTTTGGTTTGCAACATTCATAGGATGTCATTATCTACTTTATGTAAAGTATCTATCATTGTGTTGTTTGCTTCTCTTTTACTTCTTAATGCACATTACACACATGTAAGTATCCAACATCCCCTTTTGAAGTTATTGACTCCTTAAATATCCTTTCAATGCATCAAGTATATCCATAGTCACAGGATAATATCTTAACTCCTCCATGCACCTTGCAAAGCAAAAGCAACAAAAAATCTATCTACTCCCTAGAGAGTTTCCCATCTATTATTATATTGTATATGGGTTACCTTTAGCTATATTCCAGCCTATAGGCATGCTTTTCTGCTTCATACTTTTCCTTTAAGCTGCCATCTTACATAGTCGAATTCAACACTTCCTGGTTTAACAACATGGTAAATGACCATTCGGTAATACTACATCTTATATAGGATGACAAATGGAACTGTAAGATCGAGTACTCATACCTAAGATTGTCTTTTGTAGAGTCATTTATATGCTAGTGAGAAGATTTATATATACATATATATCCAACTCACTGCCGTTGATAGTTCTGATTCTAGTCTTCTCTGCTAGATCGAAGGCAACTCTAAATTTGATCTGGTTAACTGATTAAGAGAGACTGCAGCTACACCTTGTTTACTGTATGGGCCTCATGTTGTTTTTGAAATCACTAAGTTCACTTAATGATGCTAAAGACATTAGATGTATAACAATGGAGCTACATTCAGCTCACTGAAGGCATCTGCTGTATATATAATATATTTCAGAGTTTCGTTACTACATATACAATTTTTTTCAGTAACATAGTGTAATTGATCATCTTAAGTTTTTAAAAGAAATTAAGTGGTAGTAAAATATGATCAATGGGTACATATATGGCCATGCATCTAGTAATATGTTGACCTTGAGGTGAGAATGATTCTTCCAACAGACCAACAAGTTTGTCCTTGTCTACTCATAAGGTTAGTGATATGGTTATTTTCACAATTTCAGTTGAGTCAAGACTCAACCAGGCAGTGACTCGTACACTTTACACAATTCCTATCAAAGTTATTACCTTGGGTTGGTTCTTGTATGTGTAGAAAGGTAGTGTCCTCAAGGATGGGTGATGCAAGTGCTTAAGCTACATTACTGGTAGATGGTGGATATGATTGATGAGTTTTGCTGTCAAATACTATTAACCTAGACAGTGATTGCCAGATATCCAAGGTGCACCCACAATGGCCACAGTGTGCTCTGGCAAGGACACACAAGACCTTGAGTAATGTTTATATAGGAGTTCTTGGTAATTTTATATTCTGAGAAGCTGATCCAACAGATTGAAAAGTAGGTTGGTTTGAAATCCAAGCAAATGGTTTTCGAATGTGAGCTGGCCACTGCAAGAGATGAAAGGCAAGGGTGGAACACTGATGGTGAATCATTTAGAATGGCACCTAAACAGGGTTGGTAAAGAGAGATCATATTAGATCCGATATAACTCCCACGGATAACTGGATTTTGTTTTCTCCAAAATGTCGTTTCTGTAAAGTGAACCAAGTTCCATTTAAGGTGGGCGAAGACCGAACATGAATGATATTCTTATCTCGGTTCTGGAGTTCTGCAGTTGTTCCAAAGAATGGTAGATGCAAGGCCCTTGTTTGACCAGTTCTCACACTGTAGTGTATACATGCCTTTTCCTTCTCTCATGTATGGAAATAGCATGGGAATGCCTCAACAAACATGTGTTGGCCATTTGCTGTTCCTCGCTTTAATTCTTTTTACACTGGGTTGGTAATACTATCATGATGTCAAAGGAACTTCCTTGAATTCCTTTTGTTGTCTGTTGCTGTTTCTTGTGGTTTTAGACATAAGTTTCATATCGACTGTCTCAAGTTCAAACCTCTTACCAAACCACTTTGAATACTTTTATGATCTATCACATTCCATATATTGCTTTATCCACCCTTATACAAAAAGTCACGATTATGCAAAAATAATCTGGCGAGTTCAGAAAACTGCTGATCTGCTTCATATACATAGAAGAAACTCACTTTTTATAAGCTTCACAACTTCTTTTACTTTCACAAACAGCATGGCTTCCTTTAATTTCTAGCAATTATTACAATTTATGATGATTCATCTCTCTTTACTATCTGTTGCCTGATGTCTTCACACCTCCTCCTCTCATACCTGTTACAAGTGGATATCTCTCAGTTGCCTATCTCAAACCATAATAGCACCCAATTGAAGGTTAATCTATTTTGTAATTTTAAGCCAACAAACAGTCTCATCCTATAGGTCGAAATAGTATTCCTCTTTTTTCTTAAACAAGAACAAGATACATTTCCATTATCATCTGAGCAGAAATGTAGATTTTTTAATAGCGGGACTATATGAAGTCATGATGTAGTCATCTTTACTAACCACATTATGGAGATATAAATGTGTCCATAGAATTTATTGTTTTCTTAATCTTTCCTCTACTGTTGAAACATATAAATATTATTTTCTGGAGTATAAGTTTCTGAATTTCCTTAACATAATCGTGGGATCTATTTAATTACGATATTGAAGGCAAATATGAAAGCTGATCCTAAACAAAAAACTTTACCTTACCTTTCAATTCTACATGGCAAGCAAGTCTGTACGGTAAGCTAATAATCACGTGATTCTTTAATAGTTCAAAACATCACATGGAAGAAATGAAGTATGAATATCAAAGAACTCACGGGTGATCAAAGAGTCTACTATCATACTTAATTTAAGGGTGAAGATGTTAATGTAATACTAAATGCATTCCTATTCAGATAGAAACATTTCTACCCTGCATTCTATGATAAGAAATCAGGGTATTTGAACAATTCCAAACAGAAATGAATGTGTTACTCTATGGTTAGTTTCTTTATTAAGGAGTTAGTATTTTGAAAGTTATTAATCATTTTGAGAAGATTAGAGGGAGTGATTCTGACTTAAGCACACTATTAAAAAAGAGATTCCACGTTTTTCATTACTAAACTGATATGTGAATAGATGAAAAGGTAAGACACAAACATGTGAAGAAAAACCTTTATAGCAATGCTGGCACTTTGGTCTTAGTTGCATTGGGTTTCATATTGGCTTGAAATCATAACAGCTATTGCTGATTTATTGTAAACTCGTATAGAATTTTTGTAACTATGGTAGTTTTTGTAAGTCTTTACATGGCATCATCTGTTTCATACCTCCTCCAACCATGCTCCTGTAAGACGTAAGTTTGCTTTTGTTGGAGGTACTGTAACTAATATCCGATACATGCTATTGTTTAACTTTGTTTCTGTTTTTTACCGGAGCCTCTGTTCTTTTATTAAAGATTTAGTTGTCTTAAAAATTTGGAGATATTTCCAGTGTTGAATTTATTGCACTATTAGCATGTTTCAAGGTGGTAACACCATAGTACTTGCTGACACAAACTGGAGAAGGAAAGATTAGTATTCTTGCTTCCTTCGATGATTTTGTTAGACAATTACTTGTTAGTTGCCACCATCTCTGTGTTCTTCTCGTTTACCCTTCTATACATTATCAATCAACCATGAGTGTTCTTGTAGTTCTATCTCTCTTTAGGTTGCAGTTATTATCTTTTCTGTAGATTTGTGCATTTCACTCCTTTTTTCTCATAGCCTCAAACATAAGATGTATGTATGTATGTACATATTTTATATTCTTTCTATTTGTTCTTTAAGTTCTTTTGATTTTCTATAACTCGTCAAATTAGCAGATTCTAGCAGACGTAGGAGACGAACTGGTGCCATTGTGCATCATAAGAGGAGGAGGAGACTATTACCATATACTCCAAGTGAAGATACCAAAATCAGGTTGGAGCAAATGCGCTCTCTAGCTTCTGCTCTAACCTACCTGAGCATGGAATTTAGTGATGATCTCACTTACTCCTTTGATATGGCTCCAAGAGGGGCAAATTTGGCTATGTTTGAGGATGGTGGAATGCAGGTATCTTTAAGTTTGGGACAATCTCTACCACATTTTGCTTGCTGAATTCATTTCACCCCCTCTTTCTGTCCATGAATGAAAAGGGGGAGGGATTCTTACCTTTCATAACAGACATCCATGTATATCATCTCTAGCGGAGGATCGTGTGGGAAGGAGAGTTAAGGTGAGAAGCGTAAGAAGGGAACTGAACCCTAAATCACCTTTAATCTTAAACCCACCCATAAATAGCGCTTGATATGGGGATTGGTCTGATGCATCTCTGTGCATCTCATCTCGATGCATCTTATCCTAATGTGCATCCAAGGGCGGAGATCCCTTCTTACGCTTCTCATATTAACCCTCCTTCTCACAGGAACCCAACCCTATCATCTCTATTGTGTATTGTGACATGTGTGTGTGTATGTATATATATATTCAATTTTAAATGAGCCTTGTAGTAGTCATTAGCTAGTTTTTTGAAAAACTACTTCGAGTGATGTTTCAACAAGCTCCAGGGGCTTTTTTCCAATTTTTAGTGTTATGCCCCTTATATGTTTCCAATTAATTTTTCAACGTGTCCTTTTAGGTCGTTTTGCATTATCATCTGGCTTAGCAGCTTTTTACCAAACATAACTAATTTGTCAGTTAGTTTGTTGAACATAGCCAAAGAGTTCTCTCTTTAACCCCGAGGGTCGAACCAGGGCCCCGTTCTATTTACTAGAAACATCTGAAATTCCATATATCATATGGGTTATTTTTATGTGGCTCTTGTATAAGGTTCTTTCGAAAGAAGACACAAAAACCTTGGAATACTGCAGAGCCATGTTGAAGAGAGGCGAATGCCCTCCACTGCTTGTCGTATACGATTCTTGCGAAGGGTAAATAACTTAAAAGACTTGGTGTTACCATGTTAGCAAACGAAGCTTCTTATGCGAATTTAGTGTTGTAACCAACAGGTTGTTTTTTTGGAAACAGTTATACCGTAGAAGCTGATGGCCCTATAAAAGACATGACATTGATAACTGAATATACCGGCGACGTAGATTTCATCAAAAATCGTGAACACGATGACTGTGATAGCATGATGACTCTTCTTTTAGCATCAAATCCATCAAAAAGTCTTGTCATCTGCCCTGACAAACGTGGAAACATAGCTCGCTTTATTAACGGAATAAATAACTTTACACCGTAAGCTTGCCAAATCCTTTCGTATTCACTTGTGAATTGTCTTTTAGTTGTTCTTTAAATTATTTGGTGTTATGCAGACCCTATCTTTGTGTGGGATATATTGAGTTCGTTTGGTTTGGTTTTGTTCTTTAAATTATTTGGTGTTATGCAGGGAAGCGAAGAAGAAGCAAAATCTGAAATGTGTGAGATATAGCGTATATGGAGAATGTCGGGTCCTGTTGGTTGCTACTCGTGATATTGCTAAGGGAGAGAGATTATACTACGATTATAATGGGTATGAACACGAATACCCAACTCATCATTTTGTATAGGCATGGCATGTAGTTCAGTGTATGATTTTAGGCCATTGATTTAGATCTGTGTTAATCTATGAGCTTTTTTTCTCAGAGCCAAAAGATTTTCTTTATAAACAGTTTATGACATTTTAGGTATTACAATCATCTACATTGTTAGACTTTTTTTCTCAGAGCCAAAAGATTTTCTTTATAAACAGTTTATGACATTTAAGGTGCACACAAACTGAACCCTGATCGGTCCTTGCCTAAATTAGACTTTTGCACAAATTCGACCCTAACGAGTCCCTTGCGAATCGAGGTGGGCATTTTGGAGGCCATACCGGTCTGTACCTAGCTCTACTAACGAAGATTAGTTGGTCTGGACTCTAAAAACAACGATATAGGCTTGTTAGATGCAACCTTTCCAGGTTATTTTCGATCCAAATCAGGTTGTTAGACTCGGTGTAAAATGCACAGAATATACCATTGTGGATGCTTTAACTACCATCAATATTACATCATTCTTGCCTCTGGCGTATAGCTCAGTTGGCAAAGGAGTGGGGTGACGTTGCCCAAATACAAGATAGGTCTGGATTTGATCCCAGGCCCCCGCTAGCCTCAGCCGCTAAGTGAGCCAAACACATTGGTGTCCTTAAAAACATGTTCTGTGTGGATGCCAGTTGAAATTGCTGATAATCAACTTTTTTTTCTAAATATTACCATCGTTCTTGTTTGAAATGAGAAGACAAAATAATATGTTTCTGTATGTGGTGAATTTGTGTCCATGAACTTTTGTACTATAGAGCAGTACTAGGCACTATTATTTTGATGAATACCAATATGCAAAATAGGACCTAATAAAACCAAAACCTGGCATACTCTTTTATCATTAAAATCGAGAACACTTGGGAGCCGTTTACCAAAATGTTTATCGTGAAGGGGTTTACAATGTATCTTTTACCTTATCGGTTGAACATGGTAAGGACCGAAAATCTTACTCGGTAAACGCTTAGTGGGTAAAAGACTTTTACCAACAATTTACTTTGATGGATGAGAACGTTACCCAATAAGGTATGTGAGAATAATGAAGTAAGCGTTACCTGGCAACTTTTAGAGGGTAAGAATGGTAAGAACATAGACTGTGACCTGGTAAGTGAGAGAGACTTTCACCCAAATGAGTAAAAACTCTTAATGAACAATTCATTTTGATAGTCGAGAATGTTATTCGATAAGATAAGTGAGGATGTCCATATTTGCGCTTAACCGATAAATGTTTAAACCCTTACTAAGGGGCCGTTTACTAAATACTTATCCGGTATGTGTGGATAGGGTAACTTTCCTCACCTGATGCACATGGTAAGGGCTGAAAATCTTACCCGGTAAGGGCAATGATAGGGATAGAGAGTCTTACCTGGTAAGTGATAGTGATGACTCTTACCTGGGTAAGCGTTTACCGGGTAAATTGTTGCATACGATACCGTTTTAATATACTACAATCTTATCTGGTAAAATAGATTATAGTGTTGACTCCTACCGATAAGCGTTTACCGGGTAAGTATTTAGGTAAACGACCCCTAAATCAAAATGAATGTCAGAATAACGGAAAAAAAAGCAGCTCCAGAGTATTGATCGGGAAACATTCTTATGGGGTTTAAAGTGCAAAACGCATGGAATATTTACCTTTGTATCGTTGTATGGTTCCTATTTTATTATGTTTGTAGCAGAGTGGAAGTAGCAAAGGGCGTTCGTTTACCAAATGTTTATTGGGTAAACGCTTACTGGCAATAGTCACCGTCTGCAGTTAACTTATCAGTGACATTCACGACCATCAAAATGGGTTGTTATAATTCGATTAGACATCGGATTGAGTTATTTCACGTTGGATTGGGTTGGTTTGATCGGGTTGGTCGAGTTTTTGAGCATCCCTAATTCAAGGTTCAATCTCTGGTTTATATTTTGTCGACCGATCCCTTCCAATTCACATCTTTGCTGAAAGATTTCTTTTATGTAAATCTTAGGATAAGGATTTAGAAAATATCAGATATCCCTCTGTACAAGCAAATTGTTGATAAAACTCCAAAATAACATTTTCTTTTGACTCGATCTTTTTATCATTCAGAAACATTCTCTAGAATTTCTCTTATATGCAAACCCATCGTTCATCAATGCATGGTGTTCTTCGACTCGTTGTTACTCTAGATGGTGAATATGTTATTGACCGTGGAGTGGACCAATATTGGGTTAATTAAACAAAGGTAGTGGAGAAACTGAGGAAAATCGAACAATTATACAATATTTGTCTTATGTAACACGTGATTGTCGTAGCTATTATGTTCACAAATAACTCTAAATGCGCCACAGCAATCACGCAACATTCAAGTTCCTAAAATGACCAGATACGATTTAAAGTGTAATAAGTTGATGGGTTGTAAACTCTGAATTTTTATAAGTTTTTGCTTTATTTTTTTTGTATTGATATTCTAGAATTAAAATAATCAAATTTTCAAAACAAGCTTAGGCTGTTGGGACAAAACTTAATAGCAGATATACAGTTATCTAAGGCCTTGTTTGTTTTTTCATTTTCAGTTTTTAATTGCCACTTATGTCTGATTCGTTCAGATGTTTTACAATTCAAACTGTTTTTTTTTTCAGAGCCTCTTATCACTTAATAAGGTCTAAATTAATAAGAGGTAAACTAATATCTTAATTTCTCTTATTTCCCTTTTATTTGATTCTCTTTGGCTATTGCTTCTTTCTCCACCAGGAACACCACCATCCTTTCATCACCCATGTGAAATGCATGCCCCCACCTTCTCTCTCTCTCTCTCTATATATGTATATATATATATATATATATATATATATATATATATGCCACCGTGCAATTTAGACCATTAGATCATTAACTTATAAAGTTGATCAATGAATATAAATTGGTCTTACGGGTCTCACGAAAAACCCTTGGTC